GAACCGCAGGCAGAAAAAAACAATGTGCAAACAACACACCACCAACCATTTGCTGTAACTGCGCTTGTACTTGTGGAGGTGGAGGTGGAACATCACCGGCACCAAATCAAATAGAGCGTAGAAATGGACTTCAAAACATTGATCGTTGCAATGGTGGCGGTCAATGTGTGATGTGTTGTGAGAACATGGGAGATACGCGTATGGGAGAATTGTCCGAAGCTGAAGCAATAGCCAATGCAATACGCGAATACTGTTGCAAGGAGCGTGAAAGAGCGAGTGGCGGTGGAAAAAGCGCATGCAAATGTTGTGCGTGTGAGCAACGACTTGCAGCAGAAGAGGAAAAAGCACAAGGTGAGGCGATAGAAGAACACGAAAGCTACGAAGATGCTGAGGATATAGATGCTGATGTAGAGGAGGAAGAAGTGGAAATAGTGAAGCACAAAAGAGTAGTGAAAGAAGAAATAGTGATAGAAGAGAAAATTCAGTCCAAGATGAGAGAGGATGAGTTGACCGAAGATGAAGAAATCGAATATATAGAAGCAGCATCAAAAGAACGCAGAAAATCACAAGACAATGCAGCTGTAAATCCCAACCGAAATCACGCAAAAAGCTGCAAATGCTGTGCGTGTAAAAAAGAAGTAACGCAAGATATAGACCTAGACTCGGACTCAGGCGATGATATAATTTCATTAGGAGACATCGAATTAGAAGTGCAAACAGATATGATAAGCACGCAACGAAATCAATTCGACAAACCATCTGGGCCGACAAGCGGACGCCACTCACAAGACAGCACGACAAAGAGCAATCGGTGCTGCACATGTGAGAAGGGGACTACAACAGATTTTCTGCAGGAAGCGGAAATGATAATGAAGAGCACAAATTTAGTGGCAGAATCATCCGAAGAAATCAAACCAACTAAAGCACAACTCACTCGACAAATTGACGAAGAAGCGAGAGCAAAACCGCAGAGAAGACGAAGTGATGAACCCAGAAGTGAAAAAATTCGTCGGGATCAAACTGATGCGATAGGTTGCCGATGCTGTGAATGTAAAGAAAAAATGAAAGAAAGCGAAAAATTAACGCGTGATACGGAACAACATAGAAAATCGAGAAACGAAGAAGACAACAATAGGCGTCGAAGTAGCGTCGAAGGCGAACCAGAGCTGAGATTAAATGAAACATATAGAGAACCGAGAAACGATGAAGGCAACTGGAGGCGACGAAGTAGCATCGAAGGCGAACAAGAGCCGAGATTAGGAGAACTACCTAGAAAACCGGGAAACGAAGAATACAACAGGAGACGACGAAGTAGCATCGAAGGCGAACAAGCGCAGAGACTAAAAGAAACACGTAGAAAACCGGGAAATGAAGAAGACAACAAGAGACGACGAAGTAGCATCGAAAGCGAACAAGAGCCGAGATTAGGAGAAGCACAACCGCGCTGGGATGTACGGAGGGAAAAGTGGCAACAGCAGAATGAAATGGCAATGGGAGCGGCACGACAACCAAGAAGACAGTCAAGAAAATCAGATGAGGCAAACACAACTAATGGGGCGCCATCTGGTAGCAATCGTTGCTGCGAATGCAAACCCAGAGATAGAAGAATGGTGGCGTCCAAACCCGAAGGCATGGATAAACAGCCGAACAAATCATCGGATTCGGAGGCAGACTCAAGCGAGCAGCAGCTTTGTTGTTGCTTTCAACGCAAGAAACCGCAGACAAAACGCGCAAACGTAAGCGGCAACGACTGCAGCAAGTCTTGCAGATGTAAAGAAGAACAGACAGCGGCGGTGAAGAGTTACAAGCGTGTCAAAAGAACTAATAGCGAACTATACGATAGTGAACCAAAGGAGCCACAGAGAAAGCGTAGAAATAGTGAACGAATTACAAGCAACAATAAAGAGACAGGGTGTCAAACCAAATGCAATTGTAAAAAGGCTAAAGGCGTACCGCTGACCAAATGTTGCAAGTGCACCGAAGAAATGGTACAATCCATGGTACGTGAACACGATGAGGATATGCAGCGACGAAAGATCGCAGAAGAATTGGCTGAGCGTTTACAAAAACGCGCAGAGCTACAAATAGCGTTGCAGAAACGTCTACAACAACAAATGAATGGCCAACAGAATCAACAAGGCTGCTGCTGCTGCGAACCGCCACCGTTTTGTATGCCGACATATCCTTGTTGTGCGTCCATGAAACAGCCAGAGCCAATACCGTTAAGTTGCTATGAAACGCCGCCATGCTGTTGCCCGCCAACACCCTGTTGTTTCGAGACACCAGCCTGTTGTTACGAGCCGCCGCCATGTTATGGACAGGAATGCCCATGTTGTTGTCAGCCGATGCAGTACTGTTGCTCAGCCTCATGTAGCTATCCGAAGCCTGGCTCATGTTAACGCTCACAAGTGTTTGATGTTTGAGAGTGTCCAGCCGTTTAGTTGGTTGTAGGTAACATTTGTCTAAAAATTATTGCGCCAAAAGGTATGCTATATCGGTAATAGTAGCATACTTTAAAGCGCACAAGCGCAGTGTGGTTATGACTTAAACGTTTTTACAATAATTTCAATTATATTTCGTTTTCGAATATGTTGTTATATCTTTTCACCTGTCATATGTTGTATTTTGTGAAAATAAAAAGAAATTGTGAAAATGTTTACTTTTTGGTTCGCTTAATATTTCGTTTTAACAAAAATGCATAATCTTATTAGTTTATGCAAAAAAATTAGAAAATTATAAAGTCAAAATTGAAACACGTCAAACTACGATCGCGCAATGCGCGCGCACGCGCCGTAAATAAAAGCAATGGGATGTGCATGCAGTCGTAGGGGCCGTGGAACTTCAATAAGATCGGCTAACAGCTGCCAAAGCACACAATCGGATTGGCAGCGGCGCAGTGAAAATTGCTGCGTTTTCGATAGCGGCGTTTATCAAATGCCTGAGTACGAAATGACACAGCAATCGATGCAAGCGAGTAGTTGCAAGTCTGGCGCTAAGCAGTCACGAAAACCACAACGCTCAGCGGGCTCTTGCTCAGCTGGCGCTAGGGAACAACAATGCGCAAACTGTGGTGAAGAGCGCTGCCGCTGCTCAAACACTGGTGGCTGTAAATCGTCAAGACAACAGAGGCGACGGCGCTCCTGCACTACCATCCAGCGCTCACGAAGAACCACCACCTACGCGCATTTGGTTATACCAATACGCGCATGTCCTTGTACGGACCAAAGTGCCGAGGATATCCGGTCTTGCAGATCATACAATGACTGAAACGATTACTTTAATACAAGTATGTATACCGGAAAAAGCGGACAATGAAAATGCAATACGAAGTAGTTTAGCAGTAATTTTTTTTTATAATATTGTACATTCTTAGCAAAGTATGTATCACATATTTCCGAAATTACTAATAAATTACTAGGTTCATTAAAATAATAGCAACCCTATATTTTTCGATACCGATCAGTGTGACGTTGCGAGGGCCACTCTGATTTTCGATATGCTCTCTGAAGCTGTTACCCTAAACAGGGTATATAAAGTTTGCCACGATCTTGTATATACCATAAATGGTCCGTCTGTTTGACTGTCTGAATATACACGAACTGGTCTCTCAGCTTTTGAGATATCGGTCTGAAATTTTGTATATGTATTTTTCTCCCTAAGGAGCTACGCAGTTGTCAGACATATCGGACTACTATAGCACATAGCTGTCTTACAAACTGAACGATCGGAACCAAGTGCTTTTATGGAAACTTTTTCATTTGACGAGGTATCTTCACGAAATTTGGCGTAGATTATTACTCAAGACATCGCTACAATCTTCGAAGAAGTTGTTCAGAGGGACTACAGCAGCATATAGCTTAACATCAAGCTTAAAATTTTCTACACTTTTTATACTATATAAATTGCATCTGTGAAGGGTATTATAGCTTCGGTACAGCTGATGTTAACGTACTGTCTTGTTTTTATTGACTTTCTTACATTTTTTAAAGAATGGTAGGAAAATCAATCGCTTAGAAATTGTGTAACGCTAAGAAGTAACAAGTATTTGCAGAATTCGTCTGATATTTCCGGCGTACTACTTCAATGGTTCAAGTAAATTAAAAAGTTGGCACCAAATTGAAAATTTTAAGCAAAAAAAGAATTTTATGACAATGAAACACTAAAAAAAATTGGAAATAATTTGAAAAAACTAAAAAGTTTACAATTTTAAGTTTTTTTTAAGAAGTGTTGCCACTTGCTAAAATTTTTATTTATAAAAAAATATGAAAAAATTTCACAAAATTTTTATAAAATCAATGGGCTACGCATAGACCAGTTTTGGTGATTTGCGATACTACTTGTAGATGGAGTTTCGTTACGAAGTCTTTGGGGAGTAGCTATCCTTTACGATGCCTGCGCTGGGCGCGAATTTCCATAACACCTGTGGTCTCACTAACGATATCTCTTAGTGTCTCATATTGTGGGGCCCCAATCGCTTAAAATGTAGCCTTGCCAATACGGGACAAGGGCACAATATTTCATCCATTATTTTCTTGGTGCCGTGCTCTTGACATTTTCAGTCTTTTCGATCTGTCAGTCTCAGCCTGCCACTAATTTTACCGCACAGCTTTCTGCGAAGTTATGTTAGTGCTAGTAACTAAGCACTCGTGAATCCAACCAGAAAGATTTAAGTCGAAGTTAATAAACGGAGAAAAAGAAGGCAATTATAAAGGCATATATGTTTGGTTGTGGCAAGTTGTTTATTATTATTTGGATTACTTTTGAATTACAACTATTCTTGCAACTAGTCACAAAGTATTAGGAGTTTATGGTCTCCTGAATATTCCTTCTCTATTTTTCAAATAAAGGACTTTCCAAACTATTTTCAACTTCTTTTGTTAGATCATGAACTCGAAATACGCTTTAGTAGATCTGGTATTCTTTTTTACTCACCCTGAAGCTTCATTTTGTTTCAATTGTCTTATTGCCTCCTTCAATATCCTTTTGAAAAAAATTATATAAAAATTTTTTTAGCAAAATAAAACTTCTTTAAATTTTCAAAATTCTCATGAAAAAGTTATGGGATGTTGCAACGGTAAAGAGCAAGCAACAGTTAGCGAAAGTAATCAAGCTTACGAAAATGAGCCCCAAACTAGGGACAACATAAAGAAGATTTGTGTGTGTAATAATTACGCTGGACCCCAAGTTACCTGTGCGCGCTGTGGCAAATCGTATCCAAATAGCGAAGAGTATTGTCCACACTGCTGCAAGCCAAACTCTACTTACGGCCCACTAACTGCTGGTACAAGTGTGAAAATACGAAAATGTTCCGCATTAAAACGTTCTTGAAACTACAAGCCAACCAGATCACATAAAATAACAATTGCGCGTAAAAGTATGCTACCACGGCAAACACGCGCTCTCTCAGAGTGGATTTGAGAACCTAAAATGTACTATGACTGCGGTTTTTGATTCTCCGGTAATATTATTGTAAACTGGTCTCCATGTACTATATTAAACTCAAACGAAAAATTTCCAATTCACTCAAAAAAGTTTTGTCAGATTATTTTCAATATTTTTTTAAATTAATTATTGAAATTTTTAAACGTGTTCGTCTCGTCAAAATTAATGTTTTAAATTAAAAAAATTGTTTCTACTACAAATCGTCCACCTTCGAGCGGCGCAAGCAGTCAAAATTTCAGGTCATGATCAATTCCGATGGGCAGCGGAGAAAGTCGATGTAGAGGTGACTGTGCCAAACCCAGCTGTGCCAAACCCAGCTGTGCCAAAACTAGCTGTTGCAACACCAGAAGACGCCACCATAGAAGCCGTAGTCAAAAAAATAATGAGCCTTGCTACTATTGCCAACCAGAGTTTTGTCCTACTTATCCCGAATTTACGCTCTCTACTAGCGGCATTTCCTACGTACAGTGCGATTTTTGCTGTCAAATCTATCCCTGTTGTTGTTCACAATGTCCTAATTGTGGCTGTAGCCGAATCAAGATGAGGTCTAAAGAAGTAGAAATTCCGCCGATTGCATTTTGTCCTTGTTGCCGCCAGGAGGCGCCAAAGGCCAACGGGCTACAACATCTTTATACACCCAATCCCTGTTGCGCGTGTCAATGCTCATGCGCGCAGCAAGAACAAATCGCCAAATGTTTATTGCGCTCTTATAAATTACCGCGTGGCAAGGGAAGAAAATGTTGTCAGTGCAAACAAAAAAAAAGGGAAGAAAAACACAAACGAATTAGGGATCAAAAACAGAGTAAGAGCTTTCATTACCCGGCTGATCAAAATGCAGTAGCCTGCCCTTGCAAATCCGGCACAAGCGCCGCTTGCAGCTCACCGCCACAGCGTGTAGTTGATAGTTGTTGCGAGCAGGCTAAAGCATCGGTACGTCCATGTGCAACGAACTCGAGGGCAAATGCTACACGAACGCAACAAAAACAAAGTCAATGTACGCGTGCGCCGCGTAGTAAAGCCGAATGTCAACGTAATGTTGAAAGTTGTGCTTGTAGCAGTAAAAAACGAAAGTCGTGCACTGCAAATAATCCATCTGTGCCGCGTTGTCCTTGTGGTCGTGAAATCGAAATCCGGAATATAACTTACGACCTCCCCGTTTGTCGGATTGACGCAGTAGACGATATTGGATGCGGTCCTTGCAACTAATAAATGCACATAACTACATATTGGCGCTTTGAAGACACTCTGAAGCAGGAACAAAAAAGGTAAGTCAAGGAGATTGCGTTTGCCATGAAGTTTGTAACGCCTAGAAGGAAACGTTAGAGACCCCATAAAAAATATACATAAATGTTCGGCATGATGAGCTGAGTTGATTTAGCCGTGTCCGTCCGTCTGTCCGTCTGTGTGTATTGAGATATCGATCTGAAATTTTGCACACGTTCTTTTCTCTTCAAAAAGCTGCTTTTTGGAACCACAGATATCGGACCACTATAGCAAATAGCTGCCATACAAACTGAACTATCGGAATCAAGTGCTTGTTTGGCAAACTTTTTCATTTGAAGAGATATCAACAAGAAATTTGGCATAGATTATTATCTAAGGATATCTTCGAAGAAATGGTTCAGATCGGTTCACTATGACATATAGCTGCCGAAGTTAATATTTTTTTTTTTTTTTGTTTGTTTAATCTGGACTGAAGTAACTTCAAATAAACATTTATGCCGAAGGTACCTTTTTGGTGAGATGAGAATTAACAGTGGCAACCCTATGCGTTTATAAAGTTTTTCATATTTATATATTTACATATATCTCTTTTCGCTATTTTTCATATTTGCAGTTTATTATAATTCAATTTTGGTGTTAGTAATATTTTTTTTATTAAAAACATGGCAACTCTTAAATTAAAAACTAAAAATATAATCTTATACGCAGCATGTGCGTGATTTCTTGTTTTAAAATAGTTAAATTAAAAAAAGAGTTAGATAAAAGTGGCAACCCTATATGAATATATTTTCATTGAAAATATATCGAAAAAACCTCCTCATATTTATGCTCACAGGTCAAGTTTTATATGTTTGGGGTTTCTGAGTACTTTTACAAAGTTCTTATTTGAGGCAACTCTGTTGATTTTTTAAATACCGGTTTTCAGTAATTTGATAACCACTTCGCAAAAAATATTTTTTTTCTGGAAACTGCTACTAAAAATACTTCCGAGCAAATAATGTACTGTTTTATATATACATATATGATACAATACAGTTTTCTAATTTGGACTAAGCTGGCAACACTATATATTTTTCATCTTTAAATATATTATTAAAATAGTCAGAAATTGTTTAAAAATTTTATGTGCATGGCAAATTTATTCAAATATAAATTTGATCTTTTCAAATATTTTGTATCCCATAATTATATAAAAAAATTTTAAGAAGTACAAGTATAAGGCTTTCAGAGTATTCTGAAATTCAGAAATTGTGTATTATTAGTTTGAGAAATTATATTTAGCGCCTTTTTTCAATGTCAAAGCAGTTGTAATTTTTTAACCGGTCAGTATAGGGTTAAATATCTTAGGAAAATGTACTTTGTTTTCTTTCGACACTGTGGTGAATTTGTTTTTTGACAGCATTGAAACAAAACAAAAGCAATAGAGTGTCTCTGAGTTTTTATGTTTAAATTTTCACTTATTTGTTTTCTTTTCGTTGCTTAACATATTTTTTGTATACAATAATAATAAGCTTCAAAATTTTATTTGTTTGAAAAAAATTTCACGTCTTTCCGTAATTTCGCCTTAAAACAGCAAAAACTTCCGAATGCGCCTGCTAAATTGAGTAATGGGATGTAGAAGTAGTCGACGAAGTAGAAGTCATGGATCGAGTAGGTCTTGCGATCGCAATTCGCAGCGCCAACGATATCCCACGAGTCAACCATGCGAAAGACCGCGAGGTTGCGCGCGTAGACAAACAAAACCGGAATGCTGTAGTAATACCGTAAATCTCTCATATCAATATCCACAACAAACGCAGTCGGAGTGTTTTCCAGACATTTCGGAAATACTTTCAGAATATTCAAATGTTTCGGAAATGCCGTCGTCTAATATGGATTGTTGTAGCACCACTACGCGTGGCAATCGTTGCAATCGATGCAATGCAAGCGAATGTACATGTAACGATGTGGTGCAACGAAATGAAGATATTGGTTGTAAAACTGTGGTTTGTCTCACGTTCCATCCGACGCGACGGAGGAGAAACTTTTAAAAGGGGAATATGAAATGGAAAGTGTTAGAAGCTCGACTTTGTCTACACATTAACGCTAATAAAATTCTGCAAGCACCAGAAAACTATAAGAATCCAGTAGCGACGTAAGCATAAAAAAAATTGCAAGGAATCATGGTGCAATAGCAACAATACAACCTCGCATTCAGAAAATCTTCTGTAACAAATATTTACCAACAAAAATGTCGCTTTAAAGCCAGGCTCATTGGAGGCGAGGTATGTCTATTTACAATATCAAAATTAGAGGTTATATAATAACTTTCTATAATTTATGCGCAGTGATACTTTAAAACGGCACTTTTGCGGTAAATCTATGTGAGTTTTATATTTTCTCATACTCGTATATGCGCTCATATGAGCCCTCATATGTTCATTTCTAGTTTACAGACATAATTATCGACGTTCATCGTGGCAATAGCTGAACACGAATTCACTGGATATAAAATTATACTTAAACTGTAATTAAATTAAACACACAATAAATATATAAATACCATATATTCACACAGATAACAATTAAGCGCGCATTTTATTGTTTATGCGATTTTAATTCTGCCTTTAGCTGTAAACAATTAACCCTGAATTTTAATGATTTGAAATGAGATGGCGGACCATAAGCTGAAAATAGAGGTGACAAAATAAGATGGCATGATATGTTAAGAGATAGAGTGAGATGGGAGTAAAGAAATTGATATCAGATAAGATTAAATGATATGGGTGAGGTTAAGAGAACAGATTCGATGACCAAATAAGCTGAGTTATTTGGCTTGGGTAAGATGAGATGACATCGGAGATGAGACTAGATAGGAATAAATGAAATGGGTCGTGCTGGTAGGGGAAGATAGAGGATGAGACGAGATGAGATGAGATGAGATGAGATGAGATGAGATGAGATGAGATGAGATGA